AGCACAATCCCAAAATAATCCAGGCAGACATTTGAATGAATCACAGCTCCTAATTGACTCATTCTAATTCTGGTGATTCGTCACTGCTTAGCGTGGTCAAAACAGCATTAAATTTTATTTCTGTCCTTATTTTAATCGAGCAAACCAAAGTGACTCAAAACACAGCTCTTTCTTGCTTACGGTGGTTTAATAATTTATTTACTTTCAAAACCAAAGGAAGCCACTGAAGGGCTTTCATAAAGAATTGCAATTATTAAGAGGTTTGCTGTAATTCAGCACCCACATGTCTGAGGAAGTTCAACGCGTAGAAGGTAGGAGAAACACGTTCCACATAATCACATTGAATTCAAACGAATTTGCCTGAATAGTCTGGAGCAGCGTTCGTCATTTAGAGCAGTCTCGCCTCTTTTTCCTGAGTAAAATATCTGGTCATCTGAGCGGCGCTAACTGAACTGTCACAGATGATTAGAGGAGGAACAACTCGTCTTGGTATCCCAAAGAGCATGAGGTCCTCACGAGAGAGGGTGAGCCACAACCAGAATCAATGTCACCGTTCAGATAATCATGCATCGCCGATTCACCATGTAAGATGCATTTTGTTTGCTGCCTAACTGTGTAAAGCCTCTATTCATTTTCTGACTTTTCCACAGAAAGAGGGGGGAAAAAACGTGGTCAGCGCAGTAATGATCCTTCTCTCTTGAAATTCCAGCCCTCTTGTTGGGAAGACAGCGTTCGTTACAGGGTTTTCAGTCTGGCTGCTTAAATTATTCTTGTGACAAACCAGACTGACAAAATTTTCAAATCTTTTTAAACTAATACGCCTGTAATCTTGTTATTCTTTCCAATTAAAGACGTGTGAGAGCCAATTAGATTTGTTTGAAACACCATTAAGCATTTCTCATACTTGAAATTGAGGCACTTAGTCCTTACAGTTTTGCATGTTTCCAGAGTAAATTGTTAAAACAATTTCCAAAACGCACATCTGCAATGCTGCATTATTGATTCACAGATTTGTCAAGTTGGTTAGGCCATCAAGAGAAAAGCCTGTGCTGCATAAGTTGCAGACTTGCCCATTATCCAAAGAAAATATGTGGTAAAGTTTCTCAAAGGGCCATAAAATTTCTTAACAGGGACCAAACAAGAAATGTAAGAAGTAACACTTGTTAATACATTAATTAGTTAATCATGTATTTGTAGGTTTGCAGCTGTTTGATGCTCTTTTCATTTTTGGTTGGCAGATGAAGTGTTGCTCTGATTGATGTTGGAAACTTGGGAAACAGTTTTATGACTTTAGTTTGATTTAACAGATTTAACGGCACTGTCATTAATTGGGATGTTTTTCTTTTTTCAATGTAAACTTCAGTGCACATTTCAAAGATTCAATACATGGATGTACTCTGTACTGTTTCTGTACAGTTCTTTGTGTGATACTTTGTGCTTGAGTGTAAGAGATATTTTCTTTCAGATTAATGCTGCTGTGCATGGTTCCTGTTCAACAAACTAAAAGATGAACAAACAAACTGTCTGCTGCGCTCCTTGATCTTCACAATCATTCACTAATGTTCTCTATCAAAATACCTGAGATTTGATTACAAACATGTTGACTATTTAGTAATTACATAACTTTGGAGGGCAGTGGGATGCTCTGCCTTTTATGTATGGAATCTGAATACAAATGCACAGTTATCCATCACTTTGTATTAACTTCTTAGACAATGATATTAACCAGCTAGAGATATTTGTGACATTCATATAGTTGGTAATATCTCTCATACGAGGAGAAAACCATGAAACTGTGGATATGTATATTAATCTGGTCTCATCTGGCCAAAGCATCTCCTTTATGTTTGCTGTGTCTCCTAATGTCTTGTTGACAACTTTAAATGAAAATTTTAATGGGTTTCTTCTTTCCACTTTTCACCAAAGGCCAGAACTCTGGGGTGTGTAACTAAACTTTGTCCTGCAGATAAGACAAATTTGAAAATTTTAAATAGAAACAATTTATTAAGTGATTAATTGCCTTCTTGAATAGGAACAGGAGAAGCTATCTAAACTTCTGCTTTAAAACTTAAGATCACATTCTGTATAACATAATGTCCACAAATTGATGTGAAAACGCTCTAAAGCAAGAGAAATATAATTTTTCTTGCTGAAAACAGAAATCTTTGTACTTATATTATTTATTTCCTACAAAATACTGATATTCTCTTCGTACAATGGATCACAGCCCATATAGTGCTTGTATCTTTTTCCTGTTCTTTGAAATCACAACTGTTGACAGCAGATCCAGACATTGGTTCTGCTGCGGGTTTCTTCCTGTTAAACGCAAATCGTTCCCCTCCAGTTGCCCTGGTCTTCCACATTATTTTGGGATTTCAGTAAAACAAAAAGTGGAATCTCCTGACTGACTTGGACTGACAAGTTTGTTTGTTTTTTTTGTTTTTTTTGCAAGCGCCATTGTACCTCCTTGTTGACCAGACTTTTTGTTTATACACTGATAACATTAAATTGAGCATTTGGATTAGATAAAGTAATTTGAAAACCCTGTAAAATTTATTTTGTTGAGAAATGGTGACGTGTAAATAAAATCATAAAAAATTATATGGTTGTGTAATTTCATCTCAATGTAAATCTGGCTGTTTTGTGAATTGAGCATTGGTGTTAAACTTCTTTTCATTTTGGGCCAAATCAAGATCAATATTGTCCCCAGATGTCATCACATTGTGGCAGAATGTGATAATAAAGCTACTTACACACAAAATGTCAAAAATATTAATACATTTTCTGCATTTCAATTGAAATAAGCACATTCATATAATCTGGTACTATACAGACAAAACTGCTGTCATTTGGTCGATATATATTTTTTAGCACACAACTCTCATTTTGATGGTTCTATTTCCAGCTTAGATGACCAAAAAATATATATATATCTTGCCGGACGAATTTGGCCGGAAATTATTGATGAACAAACAGCATCAAAAAGACCAAGTAGGCCAGCCGAATGGTGAAGTATGAATTCGCTCTGAGGAGATCTTACTAACTCAAGCGGAGGAGAGCTGAAGAGGACAAATGAAGGTACAGTTTGAGGAATAATGGCGCTGCAAAACAACAGCGTGCAGTGTGACTATGAGGCGAGTGTGTCAGGTTTTAACTCATCAGCCCATCAGGAAAATGCCCGGTAGTCCTGTTTGCTAGTACACCCCTGCTCAAGAACCAGGGCTGCAAAACACTGATTCAGACCTCTAGTTCATTTCTAAAAGGATGTAAAAAGTCATCTTTTTATTTCCTATGCAGCTTATATCTAATTAATTCCCCAGCATCTTCTAATCTTCCTGAACAACTTGAACAAATGATGTTTCATGCAGTTTCATCCTCATTCACTCCTAATTTCTACAGCTCAAAGTTAAATTTACCTTCTTGTTTGTCTCCATCAAATAAGTACATTAAAAGCACGAAGCCGCATTGTTCCTTTTGTCTGCTTGAAACGATTCAGAACTCATTTCTGGCCTCGTGCACAAAGAGTCACTCTGGGACATGAGGATATTTTCAGAATTACAAACAAGGGCCCATCTCTTTTGTGTGACCTCTCCTCACAGAAAACCATGTGTTTGTCACACACACTGGAAAACAAGCTTTACACAACAGGAGTGTGAAATCACCATGTTCCAAGACTGGGAGTGGTGGCGGGGTGGTTGGGCTCTCAGCGGACTAAAAGAAAAAAATAATCTGTGCTCTCGGACAACATGAGGCACAAACAAAGGCTCCTGAATTAATGAGCAGACTCAGGTAACTTTGTTCTCATCTCTCCTGGAGTTGGCATTTCAAGCTCAATGTACTGTTCAGCTACAGACACGACAAACTGTTATGTAACAATAAAATGATGTGACTTTATTCGAATGCATTTGTTCCTTAGACGCTATTGTTATTAGAAATATAATTTAAACTAAGCAGTAATTATTCTTAAACGGAAAAACCTTGATGTCTCTAAATGAAGTTATAACAGCAACAATAACATCATTGGTAATTTTGATATTAATAAAATGAGTATATCACATTATTTGTGACAGGATATAGCTAAAAGCTATTGAGTTTACATATATTTGATATTCTAACTATATTTTTTGCTAATTGTAGAAGTTTGTCATCAGTAATATGTTTGGTTTTGTACTTTAAGGACACTGCATTACAAACAAAACACATATAAATTAAGTAAATATTCCTTTTATCACAGAAAAAAAACTATTTCAACACAAAAGAGAAATTATTTTGCATTCTATGCAAAGTATTAACTTGATTTCCAACTGAAATAACCCTTGTTTATAAAATACATCGTTTGGTATACAAATGGGTCAAATTAGATTGATTCAGATTATCAAGCAAAAGATAGAAATTCTTTTTTTGTCAAGATGTTTATGTTATAGACTGGTGCATACATAATCCAAAATGAATTGAAAAATAGTCTATAATATAATTGATTGCTTAAATTTTATTTGCTATATATAAATTTAGCATTAATCTTCTGTAAAATTAGCAAAAACGATGTATCCAGATTTTACAATAGCTTACAAAATTATGTTTGTAACAAATAACTTTCAATTTACCTATTCCTGGGGAAAATCATCAAATGTCCGCCCCATATAGTAAGGTGACCATTTTAATAATATTGTAGTAGGTTTTTGTTATTATAAAAAATCTGTCCTATTTTTTAAATTTTTGTTTCAGTTATTAGAATTTCCACTTCCAAAATTCATAATTCTCCTGTAAATATATATTTATTTTGTTTTTTTTCTTTAACTAAATTTGAAAAAACAACAACAACAACAACAACAACAACATATAAATATCACAGAGAAACGTGAAGTTGGATTTTTCCGCTAGAAAAATGAGCAGCGACGTTACAAAATCTTGAATTTCTACATCAATCTACAAAGTTGTAGCGTTCAGTGGTCAACGGTCCCATGGCGCCATCTGGCGTCCAGCAGCGGGAACAACGACGCTGCTGCGTAACATCCGGCTAAAACATGGCTGCGCCCTGACAAATGTCACACTCTCTCGCTAGACAGAGAACATTTTGGTAATATTCGCAGGCAGATCAACAGTGGAGCGAAACATCGAAAGCAGAAGGCCGTGACGATCATCTGTACGTCATTCTCCGTCCTCAGAGGTTTTCTCGTTTCTTTAGCTTAGCTTCAAAATAGCTTAGCATCGACTGGACCGCGGTTTGGCTATTTACTGTGCTATGAATGACATTTGCACAGTTTAGCGCAGGAAACTACAGTTGTCTCAACATTTAAGCCTGTATTAATTTCTTCAGGGTGTTGCATCATGGTGCATTTATGTGAGTATAACATTTAATTTCCTTTTTTTATCTAGAAGACAGTTATTAAGGTAAATATTGTCTTTATTTTGACCTTTGCTAGTTTTTCATCATTATATTTGCATAATTTTTGATAAAGTGTGTACTACATGTCACCTTACAGCTTTAGTCAGTAAGTTGGTAATCTCCTTATTAAATACATTCCTAAAATAACTCTGGAAATTCATTATTAACATAAGAAACTAACATCCAGTAGGTCAGAAAAAGCTTGTTTTTTATCATCTTGTTGGAGGATATTTGTCATCAGAAGTTGTGCATTATTTAATTTACACTGATCCAAATACATTTTCTACACAAAATGATTTTTAAATAGAATCTAATCTGTAATTTGTTTGTATGAAAGTTAATGTTTATCAGTGGAAGTTCGCCATATGTCACTGATGCAATAAGTTCATTTGAGAAGAAGAAGAAGAAGCATGTTTTCCTCTGATGGTCCTTTTTGTCCTGATGTCCTCATGCAGCGTCCCTCCTTTTGAAGAACTACCACGGCGGCTACGTCGTCATCCGGTTCGCCCTCTCAGGCCACAAACAAGCCAACCGACCCTTTTATCGCATCGTGGCGGCTTACAACAAGAGGTCAAGGGATGGTAAATACATCGAGCAGCTGGGCAGCTTCGACCCGCTTCCTAACATTTACAACGAGAAGCTCGTCAGTTTCAACTTCGACCGGCTCAAGTACTGGATAGGCTGCGGTGCGCACCTGTCCAAACCGGTGGCCAAACTTCTAGGTGTGTGCTCACTTTCTTTGTTGAGTCCAGGAGGACCTTAAATAATTTTTATCAGCACCTGCACCTTAGAAACCTCTGTGAAGTTCTTTACTCTAGTTTCTGCTGTTTGAAGTTTTTTTTTTATTTCTGTAAAATATTTACCTCTCAAATATTTATGTGCATGCAACATTACCTGAAGCACCTTGATAATGTACTTTGATTCAAAGGTTTGTTGAAGGTCAGGGGAGAAACAAAACAAATCAGTTAATAAAACTAACTACTGTATTTTCATGACTAAAAATCATATTTTTCATACTTTGGCTGGTTGTGCAACTTAGAAGTGTTTTTTGTTCCCCCTCATGACACATATTTTTGACGTGTTGAATGTTAATTTATACTGACAGACATGAACCAAGGATGAGGGTTTCTTGGTGTTACGGCAAAGTACAAATGTACTCCATACTTTAGTGATTTTTATTTGTAAAATAAAGTAAAGCAATGCATAATTTTAATTTCGCTACTTTGAGGTTGATTCTAATTTATGACGCACGCCTAAAACACTTTGTGGTTTTATCTGGAACATGAGTAAATCCATAGAAAGTTTAGTAGCCTTAATATTTTTGCAAGGCACTGTGAATGAGCCAGGCCGTACCTGCTTCCAAAGTTTAAAAACAACTTTTCTTTCTTACATCCACAGGGTTGTCTGGGTTTCTTCCCCTCCATCCCATGACGATCACAGAGGCAGAGCGTCGAAGAGCTAAAGCGAAGCTGGCAGAAACAGCAACAGAGGACCCTGAGCAGGAGGAGAAACAGGCTGACGTGTGATCGGATCAATCAGAAGCTGCTGTTACTTTGGAAGAAAACTTACAAATACAAGTTTTTCTCTTTCTTGGTGGACTGCTCAAAGCAACTGATCTAACGTCTTGAAGAACAAACTTTTTCAAAAATGTGAACAACTCATAATGTTGGAAAATCTCAACAACTTTGAGTTGATCGTGGATTGACAAAGGCTGTATCTTATTTTTTTTATTATTAAAAAAATGTGTCATAACTGCAAGGCTATGCATGTTTTTATTAAAAACTTTTTCCCCCTTTTGAAATCCACTCAAAACCCTTTTGTCTCATATTATGTCTTTTTGGTTTGTACTTTGGAGCCCTGTCAAAGAAATAAAAGTGCAAGGAGTTTGTGTATGTATATGGGGGTTGATGGCAAACACAAAAATCATTTTAACTAAATCACTACATTTTTTAAAGAATAAAAACTCCATCCTTCACTATTTTTCTGAGAGTTGAGACAACATTGAACTACATTGAGATCACTGACAGAAGTGGCTGCTGAAGTCAGTTTACAGTCACAGTAAAACGTTAATTCACCTGCTATGAACTTTAAATGTTTACATAAAAGGTTTAACTTAAATTGCTTCTGGCAAAGACTAAATAAATGGGTAGAAGGTAAATTTTGCCTCCTACTGAGCAGAAACCTAATTCATTACAATGTATTCATTTAAAAATGAAGAACAAAGCCAAAACTTGGAAACAACATAAAGAAAATTGAACAGCATGCTTTTATAGCTTGCAGAGCTACTTCAAATAAGACAGTTTAAACTGGGTGTTTTCTTTTTTTAGTTTATTGGTTTTCTCTAAATAAAGTGATATTATTGCAATGTTGAAGATTTTATCTTATAAAGGTAAGAAGTAGTTGTCTATGTGAGCAGGGATAAGACATTAAACAATGTTCCATTATAAAATAAACCAATATCTTTCCTAAAGGACTTTTTACATTCTTCATCGGTGATAAAATGTGTCTTGTTTTATAATTCATAAATTTATGAGGAGGTTTTTAAAGATTGACTTCAGTTAAACCTGATAAGCCTCCTTGAAACTTACTGTTCAACCAACTAAAATTAACCCAACGCTTTACCAGGAACCAGTTCGTCATAAGAGCAGAAGCTACTGATAAACTGGCAGAACTGGGAGTTGATCGGCGACTGTCAGGTTTAGGAATCTCAGTATATTCATAATTTCATGACTTCCTTTAGAACATGTGTGACAAAAGTCCCCTTAAGTCTCCATAATTAAGTTACAGCTTTAATAGTTGAAATAACGGTCATTGTCGAATATTATGACAATAATGACTCAGCTTAGAGAGAAAGCGAGACTTTCTGCTGCGACATTTCAGCAGTGATTTTCTGAACAGCAAACAGGGACGTGGACGACCTCAATCAAAAGACCATCTTCACCTGGTCACAGCTCGTTTCTTTTTGTTAAAATTTATATAATTTGTTACACTAACTGTGATCATGTTCAATAACCTAATAACTGATATGTTGAGTAAAATATTATTTCAATAAAACTCATAAAATCAGTGGCACACAAATCATTTGTTTCTTTCTATCTACAGAGGCCCTGAAATGCCAAAATACAAATTGAGGTTCCTCTCCATTTAGTGACTCATACATACAGATTTGCAGGCATGTTGCTCTCCACACCTTGCGGAGAAATGATAGTACCCAACAAAGTAACCAGAAATCCTGATCTTTTCAGAAAATAGCAAACGTCACATCTGGCTCTGTCTCAGTTGACCTCTTTTCCAATTTGTGACCCTAGTTTGTACTAATGTAGCCATTTCATCCCATCCTCCTTTCGTTTTGTACCCATTTCCTTCGTTCAGCTGCTATATGACATTGATTTTAGTGTAGTCAAGTATTTTCAGGAATGGTGGAGTTAGACGGTTGTAAAATACTCAAACAATTTAATTAAAAAGTTTGGATCCCACGCTTTTCTATTTGGTTCAGATTCTTGTTTTGACCAGTTGACAGATATGTTAGATTATAGACTGTGATGAAAGCACTGTAACTTCTCAATGATCTTTTGCTATTCAACGTTATTTATTGGGTCCTCACAGAGAACTCATAAGAACTCAATACTTTTAAAAGAATGAAAGTGTGAAGGGTTGAAATGGCCAGAACTCAAATGTCAATATGTCCATGATGATGCAGCATTGCAAAAAAAAAAAAATTTCATCTTGCACCTTGTAGATTTTCATCCATGCATTCTTTCATATGTTATCCAATGTGATACCAGCTGGATCCCTGGTGACAACTCTGAAATCTTGAGTCTGCTATCAAAGATGACATTAAAATCAAAGTGGAAGTTTCTGTGGACATTCTAGTCAAATTCTATAGGAAGGATCCCCCTTTAGAAAAATCCAGCAAGCAAAAGAACCTCAACATTTGCATGTAAATGGGATTGGACCCATCTGCCCCCAAGTTGCAGCTGAAATGGAGAGTGAGAAAATGAGCATAATCCCCTCAAGAGTGAATGTGTAACAGAATATATAACTACATGGTCGCAAACAAGCCTAGGTGCTAGAGCACGAGCAGCAGGGGCATGTTAAAAAAAAAAAAATTTTGCACAGATGTACACACATACACATGCATACTAATAAGAGACCCAGAATGGAAGAAGATTGTACACTATTCTCTTTATCGTACACAAAAAACTGTACATGTTGTATATTATCAGAGTGTAAGGAAAGCCTGCGACAGACTGGCGACCTGTCCAGAGTGAACCCCGCCTCTCGACTGGAACATCAGCAACATTTAATTACAGTAAAAAATATGCTTGATAAAAGATTAATACTTTGTGTTGTACTTTTCATACTTAGAATACTTTAAAAATGTTTGTATCTTTTGTGAATCGATAATTTTTTGTTAGTTTTTTTTGCCGCAGGGAAAAAAAAATGTGTTGCCATTTTTGTATTGTGGACTAGGGGTGTACAAAATCACCGCTAGGGTCACAAATGGCCCCCAGTCCACTCTTTGGACACAACTGTATATACTCCAGGCCTGGTGCCCTGAGCAAAGTGGCCTGGGAAAAATTAGTCCAAATGTTAATTTGAGCCTACATGTATAATACATGTGATCCTCACCACTTGTTTAGTCTTATGTTTTACATTATTTGCTTTAAATTGTTCCTCGGAGTACCTTTCTTTAAACCTCCAGCAAAACGAGAATGCGTTGATGTGTTGCGGGATGAATACACGCTAAAAGAATGAAGCTATAAGCAGTTACTGACAGTGACATCAGCTGCCACGGTTCACAACTGAATGAATAGTTTTGAGTTCACTGCAGAAAACCTCAGTTCCAAAACTAGAGAGCCTGCCCCCTTCCTGAACCCGTTGCTGGCAGTCGGTTCAACAAGAGAGGAGCCTGATAAGTAAATCCTTTGCTCCCATTCTTCTTTCAGATAATCTCTAATCCAGAGGTAAGCCTGAAGTCTGTGAGCCCAATGCTCAAATTGAAGGTTATGGAGCTGTTGGGTCTTTAAGATATGACAGGTTTGAGTTTGACAGGTGATCTGAGATCACTTTTGCTGGAGTCTTATAAAGAGTGAGAATGAACAGTTTTTAAATGATGATTTAGATAATTAGACACAGATTTAATCCAATATTCCCTGCTCAATGCTTGAGCCAAGGGACATAATCTGTTCAAAAATATTTCTGGTTTAGTAGCACTGGAGGTGAAGCTACTGCCATCCAGATAAATGTAATGAAAGCATTTTATTAACCTATCCAGTATCCAGTAGAAATGTGTCCTCTTCTTTTGGAAAAGATCTTAAAGGAAAGACCTGCTTTTTGCGCTGAACATGTGTTTTTACTGTTTTAAGATCTGGGGTGGATGTATTTGCATTTATATTTTAAATCCACAAAAAATTTCTCTGGAGTTCCCTAATGGACTTTACTGTCTTCTGTCACTAGATGGCAGAGATGTGTTTTACTGAGACGATTGTGGAAAATGAATACAGGGAGACATTTAGAGTCACTGACAACATTTATTTGATTTTCAGTTGGATTCAATGTAAAGCAGTGATATGAAAGTGCTCCGAGTTTGAAGCAACAATCAGTCGGACTGTGCTCTTGTAAATCTGAACTAAAATAGTTTCTGCTTCCTGATGTCAGAAAAACTATTTTGCAATTTAGCTAGTTACACTCTACCTCAGTTATGTTTATGTTCTTTTTTCTTGTTTTTTTTTTATTTTTTTATTTTTTTTGGGGGGGGGGGTTGTATTGTTTGTTTGTTTACAGACTTATATTTGTTTTTCTTGTTTTTTTATTATTTGTATTTTAAGACCAACCTGTCAGTGGGACTAGATATGGAAATTAACCCCTGGACAATAATCTCACGTTTTTGCATGCAAATTTTCTAAATCATCTATTGTCCTTTAAAAATAAATAAATAAACTAAACTGAAGCAGAAATGTATCCAGGAAAGACCCATTCAAGCCTGACCAGAGTTCTGGTTTATATCAACATTAAATGAGCTTTGTCTCCATCTAGTGTCCAAACACTGCAAACATATTGACTAATTTATTTACCTTCAGTTTATATGTCTTTTTTCATATGGCGCCCTGACTTGAACACATTTTAACCACCATGTTGGTGGTGTTGGGTTAAATATTCAACAATCTGTCTCCCTCCCACTGCAAATGATAAGACAGATACAAGCAAACATAAGAAGTAATCATTTGGATTTCTGAGTTATGCACATGGTAGGTAAGTTAAAAGAAGGAAGACTCTGCTTTCTTCTTTTTGCTGTGGGAATTTATATATATACATATATGTATATATATATATATATATAATTTTTTTTTTTTGCAGTAACTCAGTTGGAAAAGTGAAATGTGTGCTACACATTTATAATAAACAGTTTTAGTCTTAAATTCAATACATTTTAATGGCTTTTAGTTACTTCATCCATATATCCTCTTATATTTGTAGTCAGTTAGAGTCACTTCTATGTCCAGCCATCATTGGGAAAGGAGCGGGTTAAATCCTGGACTGGTCACCTGTTTATGCAGGCAGCACAGAGACACACACTGATTTACACTGTGATTTATTGGCTGTTTTAGTCTGGCTGGATAACCTTTTGTCCATCATCCATTTGGATTCGGAAAGAGCTGAGGGAGAATCCATAGAGAATCCACTTTGCAGAGTCCATCCCAGGGTTTGAATCCAGTCAACTTAGAGCTATGAAGAAACCCTAAATTGGTTTTTCAAAAAATCAGAATGACTAAAAAAAATCAGAAATATTTTATCCAAATGGTCCTTATTGAACACGTTAGCTACGAAGAACTGAATCCAAACATATTCATGTAAAGTTGTGTGAAAGAAAAAAGTGTGGTGCACTCAAAAAA